TCCCAGATGCAACAGCCAAACCACAATCAATAAGAGAGAATAATTGATAAATGGCATCATCAAAATAAAAAAAATGCACACTCTAGAAAAGATACTATTAAAAAGCATGAAAAGCCAAGCCACAAACTCAAAGACAAATATTGGTAAAACATATTCCTGATACACTGCATCCTCTCCAACATTTATTACTTGCTGCCCTGATAAACTTTGCCACTGCTTCTGTGTTAAAAAAAAAATAAATAAAAATCCTGATAAAGGACTAAACACATCAAGAACTTTCAAAAAGAAAAACAAAATCCACAATTTGAAAAAAAAATGAGCAAATGACTGGAAAAGATACACTTTTAGCGTTAGTGTCCAGCCCAGAGTACAAGTCTTGAACCTTTGTTCAGGCACTAAGGCATCTGCAAGGTCAGATAAGGGGCTTCTCTGTCACGTCAAGTGTTCCTCCTTATCTCTAGAGTATCTGGTGAGAACCTACAATCTTTTGAGTCCAAGGCTCTCACTGCTCATTGTGAACAAGCCAAGGACTTGGAAACCAACACAAGCTGTGGCCCACTGCTTATCAGAAATGTGTTCAATATCCTTCCAATCTTCCCAGAACATAATGTTACTAAGAGACATACATTGAATGCAAGTTCTCAATTAACTCACAAATCAAGCCTATAAGGTAGGCGCTGCCTTTATTCCCTATTTAAAAAAAAAAAAAAAAAAAAAGACCTGATAGTTTTACCAGTGAAGCCAGGATGTGAACTCAGGTAACCTGACTTCATGTCAGAGCTCATGTTCTTCACCCTGATGGCTCCTGATTTGGGAGCTCAGAATGCCTCTCAGCATAGTTCCCCACATAATTGTATTCATTTTAATTAACTGTTGTTAGGAGCCACCGAGTCAATGATGACCATGGTAATGTGATGAACAACAGATCTGAACCTTGCTTGCCCTGTCCTGCACCAGCCTGACCATCTCTGTCAAGTTCAAGCCCACTGTGGCCGTCACTGCGGCAATCCACTTGGTTAAGGTCTTCCTCCCTTTCTCAGACCTTTCCCAGCATGATGTCTCTCTTCAAGGTTTCTCCTGAGAAAAAGCCCAAAGGAAGTGAGACAAAGTTTCACCTTCCTCACCTCTCTGGAGCACTCTGCTTGCATTTCCTTTAAGACAGATCGGTTTGTCCTTTTGACAGTCCACGGTATACTTAATACTTTGCCAAAATCACAATTCAAAGGCATTCATTTTCCTCTTCAAAGCTATTCTGTATTCTCTAAAATGAAAATATTCAGCTTGCTGAGCCATTTCCCTACAGATATGTTTTGTAGGGTTTTTGGAGTGTGAGTGTGTGTGTGTGTGTGTGTGTGTGTGTGTGTGTGCGTGTGCTTGTGTGTGTATGTGTGTTTCCATTTCCTTCCTTAATCAAATCTAAAATTCCATCCTGTACGATGACTCAATTTCACAGATATGGGAGGGGTGCATTTCAGAGTAAACGTAATCTGGCATTACAGATGATGTCGCAAAGACTCTGGGCTTGTAGATTGTTTTCATTCATGCATTCTGGAGAAGCTTCCTAGAAGTACAGCAGTGAGTCAGAAGGAAGGAGCATTCTGTATTTTGGTAGACGCAGCCGGATTTCCCTTCAGGGAACTGTATCTCAGTCATGTGTGTCTCCATTTACTTGGTACAATGACTGTCGCTCTGTAGGTACTAAAGAAATGTCTGCTCTCAAGAAGAAATGCATGACCAGGCTCAGCAAATGGAAAGCATTTTGAGATTGCTCATTTAAAAAAAAAACCCACAAGAGAAACCAACCAACACGGAAACAACACTGACTAACAATGAAAAGATACAATGTGTCAGTGTCACATCTACATGTACTTCTTGTAGAAGCAGTACTGGTCGCAGTAACAGTCATTCCAATAGCTGCTGTCAAGTTGGAACCAACTCATTGCTGACCTTCGGGTTTCCAGAGGCAATAAATTGCTTGAGAGGAGATTGCTCATCTTTCTCCCTTCACAGAGTAGCTGGCGCATTTGAACCACCTGCCTTTGGGTTGGCAGGGCAACTCTCTCCCCACTAAGCCACCAGAGCTCTTAGTGACAATCACTAATAACCAATTAATGCATTTGATAATAGAATGGTGCATGAAAATTGACTAAGATATTCTGCATATTTACTCAAAACTCCTGTGCACAGAGACACGTGTTTCATAGAATGTGTGTGTTTAATAGAAATAAACTGGTAATTCTAGGTTTTGACAATCCACAAGCCACTAGATTTGAGAACTTTCCAGACAGCTGGAATTGGCCATTTTAAAGCCCTTGCAAGACCACCAAAGAACAAACAGTTAGGTCTTGGAGAAAGTACAGCCAGGGTGCTCATTGGAGGACAGGATGGTGAAGCTCATATATTTTGAGTGTGTTTTTAGGAAGGGCCAGTCAGTGAAAGAGAGGAATTCCATCAGCAGAATGGACTGACACAGTAACTGTAACAACAGGCTCAAATAAACATCAAAGAGGATGAGGACGGCACAGGAGGGAGCAGGGTGCAGATTCACTGCACAAAGGGTCACTAATGAGTCGTAATTGACACGGTCAACACCTAACAAGAAGACCGTCAATGTGAGAACCACGTGGGATGTAAATTAAAATGCACTTTGATGAAAATCAATTGACCATAGAACTTAAGGTCTATTTACAATCTATCGTATTCCTTCAGCTATTTTTACATATAACTCTGCAGATTTACTGCAGTAATGAATGAGGTTTTATCATATCTTCCAATTCTATTTCAAAATTGTTATAGCTCTTGTAGGTCCTTCCATATGAATTCTGTTAGCTTGTAAAATTATTATTTAAAAAGTCGGAATTTCAGCAAGCTCGGGTGGCCTAGTGGCAAGAAGCTGTACAGCAATCCCAGAGGTGCGCGGTTCGAATCCACCAGATGCTCTGTTGGAGAGGAGGAACAATATCCTCCTGTTCCAGTCAGATCCAATTAGACGGTACACATACAAAAAAAAATTTTTTTAAAAGTTGGAATTTTACTGAAATCATGAACCAATATGGAGAAGATTACCAATTTAACAACACTGAATCTTCTAGGGGCCACCAGAGCTTCCAGGGGTTAGCCAACTATGACCCATCAGTCAAATTTAGTCTTATTTTTTATAAACCCCTGAGTAAAAAATGATTTTTCTGTTTTGAAAGGGTTACAAAAATAAAATAAAGTGAAAACATCTGACAAATGAAAAAAATTTAAATGCCAATCCACTCCAAACTTGGCCGATAATAATTTCTGGGGACTAGTCTAATGTGAGTCACAAATGACTTGACGGCACATAACAACAACAAAAACAACAACAAGTCTAATGTAACAGGGAGCTCTGGTGGCCAAGGAGTGAGGTGTTGTACTGCCAACTCAAAGATTTGCTGTTCAAATCCACCAGCTGTTCTGTGGAAGAATGATGGGTGGGCAATCTCCTCCCATGCAATTTACTGCCTCTGAGAACTCACTTGGGGGTCAGCTATGGGTCGGTTCCAACCCAACCACCCAACAACAACAAGAAGCCACCAGAGCTCCCTGGAAAACCTGTTGGGGCAGCTCTAGTCTGTCCGACAGGATCATTATGAGTTGGAATCAACTTGATGGCAGTTGGTGCCCAGCAAGGATCTGAAGAATCTGCATTTTAACCAGCACCTCTGAGATTATAAGGCACTCTTAGGCATGCAAGCTGTCACAAAAGGGTGTTGGAGGTCAAATATTACATAAGACCACTATTATAAAAACTATTATGAGGGAAGATTTATACATAGATTCATCTGAGGATGCTTATGAGGGATGGAGAGGTAGTGGATAGTAAAAATACGTAAAATTGATAATAAAAAAAAAGTCAGAACTGACCTATAGCTGATCCTTCAAAGCATATTCAGTGATTGTAAATTGCATGGGAAGGGACTGCCCATTTTCCACTGAGCAGTTGGTGGATTTGAACTGCCTGCCTTTGGGTTGGCAGCACAATTTACCAGGTCACCAGAGCTCCCTAAAATAGACAAGAGGCACATATTAAGATGGTGAAGAGAAAGGCAATATAAATTAAACTGATAATCAGCATAATCTCAAAAGAGAAAGTGAAGATACAGGGATATAAGATTAATGGAAAGAATAATTACAGGGAGGAGACCAGGAAAAGTATTTTTTTAATGTGGGGATAAACATTAACACCATTTATAATCGTTGAATGGAAAATTCATTTGCTTTGTAAATTTTCGCTCAAACACCAATCAAAAGACTAATTGCATTGGGAAAATCTGTTGTCAGGGACCTCTCCAGAGAGCTGAAGAGCAATGATGTCAGTCCAGAGATCAAGGTGCACCTAATTCAGGCCACAGTCTTCTCAATTGCTTGTTATCCATCTGAGAGCCGGACAATGATTAAACATGGCAGCAGAAGAACTGATGCCTCTGAGTTGTGCTGGAGAAGAGAACGGAACATACCTTGGACTGCCAACAGAACAAACGAATCTTAGAGAGAGTGAAACCAGTTGGCTCCTTCGACGCAAGGATTTTGAAACGCTGCCTCACATACTTTGGGCATGTTGCCAAGAGGGGCCAGTCCTTGGAGAAGGACATCAGGCTTGCAAGGGTGGAAGGTCAGTGCAGGAGAGGAAGACGCTGGATGAGATGGACTGACACAGTGTCATGGCTATGGGGTCAAGTGTGTCAGAGATGGTGAGGTTGGCTCAAGGTAGGGCAAGGTAAAATAACAACAAAAACAGCAAAAAGCAGGGTTAATGAACACTAAATGAAAAAGTAAGCAAAATGCATGAAAAAAAATAATAATATAGTTAGTTGTTCAATGACCAAAATAAAGGACAGGGCAAGGTTCGGAGCCATTGCTCAAAGGGTCGCTATGGGTCGTAGTCAACTCGACGGCATATACCAACAACAACAATAAAACAACAGGCTTTGAGCAGTATCTTTAGAAGGGGGGCACTTTAGTCCTTTTTGTAGAGGCGACGAGCAAGCCGAGGTGGGGAAAGACTTCTCACTGCATCACTCACCGCGGCACCGGCAGCGCCCAGGCTGCGAGCGCGCGGAGGTGCCCCCTGCCGGCCGTCAGCAGCTGAGTCCAGGTCTCGGCGCTCCACTGCGACTGCGCACCAAGGGCGCCTGGGAGCGTGGGGTCCAAGCCGGAAACGGAAGTTTAGCCTCGCGCGCTCATCGGCCCGCCTCCCCCTCTGGCGGACTCGCCGCGGCGCCGGAAGCGGAAGTTGCTAGGGGCGGAGAGTTGTTGGAAAGTATCGGCTTGTCTTCGCGCTCCCTGGGTTCGCGCCGCCCTCTGCCGGAGTCGGTAAAGCACGGACGTGAGAGGTCGCCAGTTCTGCGGATCGATCGAGCCTTAGCTGGCTTCCGGCTCCTCACCCGCTTCCCAGGGGTGTGGTATTCCGAGGCTCTGAACCCCTTTCCCAGGATCTGTGTGACCCTGTTGAGTCCTTTCCTTTCCCCGGAGTGAGAGGTTCCCATCGGCTTCCCCCAGTGTCCCCGCAGACGCCGCCATGGGCAACACGAGCAGCGAGCGCGCTGGGCTGGAGCGGCAAGGTGGCCATAAGACGCCTCGGAGGGACAGCTCGGGGGGCACCAAGGACGGGGACAGGCCCAAGATCCTGATGGACAGCCCCGAGGACGCCGATCTCTTTCACTCCGAGGAAATTAAGGTGCGAGGATTAAGGGAATCTGATTTCCCTTGACTTGATGTTAAGAAGAGGGATCCCAGCTACTTTGTCTCGCCGTACCCCTCAAGACTGGTCATCAGGAAAGGATGGCCAGTCATCTTCATCACTGAAAAGTCAGATGGTTCCGAATGAGCCCTGTTAGCAGCCCCGATCCTGTATCTAATTACCGATGTGAGAAAGTCACCCCGCGGGAGGAGGGACTCACTTCCCTTCGCTTCATTAAGGAGAGAGCAGCTCTGGGACAGAGTTTTAAATTCATAATTAAGAGATTCCAGGTAGCAGTAATTGAGTCCCAGACGTTGCTTCTCTCTCAGGGTGAAATCAATTTCACCGCTTTGAGAACGTCCCTCGCTCGCCTTTGCGCAAAGCGGCGCTTTTGCAAAAGTTTGCTGTTGCAATTTCTTGTACCTTTTGGGTTCCCTCCCACCCTTCCAAGAGTCGGCCGAGAAAGAGAGTTCAACAGTTGAACTGCAGCTGCCAGAGGTGTTTCATTGCGCCCAGAACATTTTGTTCATCCTCCTTGTTTAGAGCCAGGCAGAGGGAAAGGAATTTGACTTTTGGAGGTCAGTGGCTGTGGCATTGCGAGGAAGGGCAGCTCAGGCTCGTCAGCCTCGCTCCCCTGTTGTGTAAATAAAACTTAACCAGTTCAAACAGGCTAGAGCAAACAATTTTTGCAGCCTGGATTTGGACTCTGCTGCCTGTAGTTTTAATTCATCTGGAACTCTGAAGCCAACAAGTTCTGACCCCCACTTCAGCCACTTTTCCCGCTGACCAGCTAATGTCTGTCCAAGGATATATCTTGATTCTGGCAGCCAATTTGGGGCCTATGCTAAAAGCTGTACCCAGGAACTAATTTCTTAAAGGAGTGCAATGAAGTTGATATGAGGGATAAACGCTCTCCACCCATCGGATCCTTTTTACTGTCTCTTACATGTTAATCTTTGTCCATTAAGCTAATTGGGCGATTCAGCTTTACACACCTCTTGCTTATTGGGTTGGGCTTCATCAACTGAAGAGAGCCTGCCTCCAGCTTCCATTCTGAGTTTGTCACATTCCTGAAAAGCTGTGTGCCAGGTGAACTTCGGAATCCCAGATTCTCCTTCCCCTAGAAATAGTTGTGGCCCCAAGGCAGCTTTGTCAGATACCATCAAAGTCGGACTGCTTTAAGAAGGATTTGTTGTTCTGTTGCTGTCCCCATAACTCTTCAAGAAGTGTTTGCCTACGGGTGATCAGTTGGAGAAGTGAATCTCTCCTCATTTCGGCAGGAGTTCACTGATAACTGGTGGGAGATACAGGGTAGAACACCCTCCAGAGTTTTGGGTTATTTTCTCTACACAAGGCCATTCTTTGGCGGTAGTTAGTCATGACATCTTCCAAGTAAGGTGATTCTCAGCTGTTCCTCTTTGATCTGTAGATCTTGTTAGAACTTGTAGTCATCTTTTAGATAAGCTCAGGGCAGTACTCAAGGGCCGGAAACCTGCTTCAGTCCCATATTGGCCTCTCCTTACCTGGAACTTCTGCTGCTTTGGCTTCTGACTGGGCAAGATGGAAGAGATTTCTTCCATCCACGTGGAGGCAGGAACGTTTCTCTCTCTTACTCCAGAATATTGCTTTTTCTTCCCCCCTCAAAGTGAAGCCAGTTTAATTTTTTGGTTTGGTTTGTTGTGGTTTTTTTTTCCTTTTTGTTGCAGTTTTTTTTTAAATATTCTTTTTTTAATTATTTTTGTGTGCGTGTACCGTCAAATCAGATCTGACTGGTACAGGAGGAGATTGCCCCTCGTTCCCCGGCAGAGCATCTGGTGGATTCGAACCGTGCACCTCTGGGATTGTAGTTGCAGCTTCTTGCCACTAGGCCACCAGAGCTCCCTACAATTTTTTGTTTTTAATGTCAACCAAAGTTAAATATTATTAATTTGGTAAGAGTTCCATACTCTTAGCTTAAGTTTGAAGAAATCCTTATTAAGCCCGTTCTACTATTTTGATGTTGAGCTAGAGCAAAAATAGCTGATGACAGATCAAGATGATTTGTGTTGCTCTAGGACATTGCCTTTCAGACTTTTTACCAAAAGGGTTGGTTTTGTATTTCATTTAGTTTTTTGGTGGGGGTTTCATTCAGTGGTGCACATTTCCTGCCCCTTTTCCCCCATCCCTCAAGTCCATTCAGAATACTCTTCGTAGACAGCACTTAGGACACTAGAGTCACCATACTGAAGAGTCCTGGTCTCACTCATCTTTTCCCCCCAGTACTTGAAGTAGTTCTTTAAGTCTATAGCTCTGGGATTTCCCTAAACAAATGTTTGTGTACTTTAACGCTGGCTTGCTTAAGAGAGAAAAATATTTAGTCTTAGATTGATTTCAGTCTTCTTCCAATGGCTATGCAGGCATCTCACATAGGCCGTGTCACCTAATTCTTCATGTTAAATATAATTCCTCTTAGAACCGTCATATTTCAGATGAGAAAATTAAGACACAGAGCTAGGAAATTGCCAAGCCTGAAGGTGGACCTAGTGGTAACAGCTATCTGTGCAGAATGCGTTTTCCGTTTTCAGGGTGATGGCTTGTTTTAGGGAGCCCACCATTCATTGGCTTCCTGTCCCTGATGAAACAACTCTGCTTTCAGGCTCCAGAGAAGGAGGAATTCCTGGCCTGGCAGCATGATCTGGAAGTGAATGATAAAGCTCCCGCCCAGGCGCGGCCAACCGTGTTCAGATGGACAGGAGGCGGAAAGGAAGTTTATTTATCTGGCTCCTTCAACAACTGGAGCAAACTTCCCCTCACAAGAAGGTAATAGCACAGGAAGTGTCCAGTGCTTGTTTCAACTCATTGACACTGTTCTTTCGGAAAGGTCTCTGCCAGTGAATAGGAAAGGGTTTATAGTTTATTTACACAAATTATAAATGAATGCTGCATGGAAAAATGCTGTTGCTTAATGATTCAGAGGGTTCCCATCTCACACTCAAGCTCTTGTGTCTAGACTTAGAGTACCTCTTAGAAGAAAACTTTTCTCTTTTGAGCTGCTCTTTGTATCATAAACTTCTTTCTGTATCCCAAACATCTTTTTCACTTCAGGTCTCTCTCAAGAGAGAAATCTACTTTGTAAAAAAATTATTGTGATTGAGGTGAAAGTTTACAAAGCAAATGAATTTTTCCAGCAACTGTTCTTAACACATTTCATTTTAGAAAAATAATTACAATGTCCACAGTGTAACTATAGTCTGCCCACTTCCTCTCTCTTATTCTCCTTTCCACTAATCCTTCTGTCTTACCCCTTGCCATCTTCTGAGCAAATGCTGCCCTTTTGTCTTTATCTGGTTGGACAGTCGAAGGAGTGAGTGCCTCTTTGGTATTTTTTGATCAGTTTATAGGCCTGTCTGTTGTCTGGATGGAAGTTGAACTCAGGGGTGAATTTTATCCCAGGATAGGAGGGTGGACTGATTTTAGGGTTTCTGTCAGTTTTTATTAAATTTGTAAGCCTGGCCTTTTTATGACTTTTGTTTTGTTCTCCATTTTTGTCCACTCTGTCCTGGATCTCCTGTGATCCCTTTCAGAGTGGTCAGCGGTGGTAGCTGGGCACCATCTAGTTCATCTGGTCTCAGAGGGGACATCTACTCCTGGTGCAGTGGAGGAGTAGAAAGCCCTGAGCTTGTGAGCTTTAGAGGGACCTGGATAGGAGTCCATATTGATCGTGCCGCCCGGTATAAGGCACTTTCAAGGTCTGTGTGCTTTATATCAGGTGATCTCTGAGGTCCCTTCTAACTTTGACCTGGTATTGTATTTGAAAAGTACATGCTATCCAGGCACCGTTCGCAGGGACATAGTAAGGTCCTGGCAGAGACTTCTGTCTCAGACTCTTGTTGAAAAGCCACCTTCACAAGTGAGTAGTGTTGATGAAAAGAAGGGCGGAACCGTGCCCTGTCAGCAGTTGTCATTGTCACTGTGGCCTGTCAGAGAAGAAGGGGTCACTGTCACTTCAAATCAGAAGCAAAGCAGTGAGGTGAAAGAGGTTTCCTGGACCCCTTCTAGTGATCCTGCAAGTGTCTGTAGTGGACACCACGCAGTCTAGTAAGGGGATCCCCTCTCCTGCCCAAAGAGACTGACAGGGAGCAGCTGGGCAGGTGTGCTTCTCGCGTATCGTCCGTCACCTTGGCATCCACTGCACTGTGGCCAGTGGGGGTTTACCTGTAAACTCGAGAAGCACACATGAACACCTGCCTGCTGACGGTGGCAATTAGGAATGTGGGTTCCTGGCTTTTGAGCACAGTCTGCTTTCAGGACAAAGCCTGCATTGCTCATTCCATTGAGCTTTTCTGGATTTAAGTTGTCACCTTAAGTTAGGTCAAGGTGTTGGTTCTGCTGGTGAAGTCTCAGGTTTGGGGGAGCCCCACAGCTGAGGTCCTCTGCTTCCTCTCTCCTTGCAGTCACAATAACTTCGTAGCCATCCTGGATCTGCCGGAAGGTGAGCATCAGTACAAATTCTTCGTGGATGGCCAGTGGACACACGACCCTTCCGAGGTACCTGCCTTCCAACTCCCTGTCCTTCAAGTGCCTACACGGGCCACCCTTCCTTCACAATTGGGGCCAAGTCCTTTTGTCCTTCTCGTAAAGTCCCTGTGGGCCTGAGCTCGGTGGCTTCCTAAATGTCAGACTCTGCGAGTACTTGACCGAGTAGTACGGTGGACAGCCAGAAGCTGAGGCGTCCCAGCAGAAATGTCAGTCTCCTGCAGAGTAATTCCCAGAGTCCCTCCACCTAGTGACATCTGCTCGTCTTGTCTCTTTCCAGCCAATAGTAACCAGCCAGCTTGGCACCGTGAACAACATCATTCAAGTGAAGAAAACGGACTTTGAAGTATTTGATGCTTTAATGGTGGATTCCCAGAAGTGCTCCGATGTGTCTGGTATGTTATTTTATATTGCATGCGTGCAGGTGGGAGCCATGTGGTTGAGAAAAGCTCTTGTTGGAGGTCTGGTGGCGTAGTGGCAATAACCTACACTGTAATCCTAGAGGCATGCAGTTCAAGTTTACCAGATGCTCCACTGGAGAAGGAGGGGCAATCTCCTCCTGTGCCGGTCGGATTTGATTGGACGGTACACACACACACACACAC